CCAGGGTACCGGTGAAGGTGTCCTGGCCAAGGAGCTTTGAGGGGTAGCCTCTTCGATGGTGGAATGCCAGAGAATCGAGGCTCCCCTCTGCTCTAGTGGTTCTGAGAGGCTGAGAGGCTAGTGGTTCTGAGTCAGCTGAGAGGCTGACTAAGCACTAGTGAAGCTAACCGGGTCAAGCGCAGGAAATCGAGCATTGAAAACGATGAAAGAAGAGTGGTCGGATTGACCAGCTATGAACGTGAGTCAACCGAGAAATGAATTTTAAAAGAAAAGACGCTCCCCACCCCATCTAGCGGAACGGGAAAAGCAAGCGGGGGGGACGCCTCCCATGCGCATGGACTTTTAAATGAAAAGGGGGGGGGAGCGGCCAGAGAAGCGGAGTAAACTGTTCAGAAGTACTCACCAATGTAGAAAAACGATTGAGAACATTGCAGAGACTTTTAAAAAACTTTTGTGAAGAGTAAACAAACGGCAAAGATGGCGGGCAAGAGGGACAAAGACAAGCTGATTCCGAAAGTAAAAGGACTGGAGAGCCCTAAAACGGAAGTGACAAATGAGCTAGCAAAGACTGTAGCGGAATGTATTCACCCTCTGCTGGAGCAGTTGAATAACATCAAAGAACAAATGTCGGAAGTAACCAAAAATCTGATAGTGCAGCAAACCCAATTGACAGCACAGCAAACCCAGATGAATGATATGATACAGATAATGAAGCAAGACAGTGAGAAAATCAAAGAAGTGGCTGCAACAACAGAAAAAGTAAAGAAGAAAGTCCAAAAGTTGGAGTTAAAGCATACTTCAATGGAAGATAAATGGCTGCAGCTGCAAATGGATAAGGCCAACATGGTCCTTCGCTTCCAGGGTGTGCTGGAAAAATCGGGAGAGAATCCTAAAGAGCTAATGAGTGAATTGTTGGCCCCAGCGACAGAAATGACGGCAGAACTGTTACTAAGCTAAATGGATGTGGTCTATCTATCATATTCAGGATATATAAAAAAGAATAATCTGCCTGGGGAGATTGTTGTGAGATTCTCGAAGAGGCACATAAGGGATGCAATTCTAAAAGCAGTTGCTGGAACACCCTTGAAAATGGGGGAAACTAAGATTAGAGTGCTTAAGGATATTCCATTTGACGTAAGACAATGGAGAAGGAAGTACAAAGAGCTGGTGACTTATCTTCAGACAAATGCAATTGGATACAAATGGTTATTTCCGGAAGGAGTGGCTTTCAAGATGAAAGACAAAAAAGAAAGAATTGACTCTGCCTTTAAAGCCAAAGAATTCTTAAAGACTCAGCTGGGAAAAGAAGAGGAGGAAGGAAAAGAAGACGATAACAGCTCGAGTGGGGAATTGGAGATGGAATCTTCCGGAGAGGACTCTCTGGCGGCACAAGGAGCTGCAGCTCCCAAAAGCCCCTATAAGCTGAGGAAGAGAAGAGGAAAAGAGAAATAGAGGTTGAAGGACTCTGTATTGTGCCTCGAGGTTTCTGATGCATAAATGTGGTGATGGGGGGGGGGTATGGTTTCTGAACAGCTAAATTTGCTAAAGAAAAGTGAAAATGTGTGAAAAACTTGACTCAATTCATATTGTTTTACAAGAGTTATGACTGAATGTAACTAAGCTTTATTTAGGATCTCCTCTCTTGGGTTTTTAGATATAGTTGGTTTCTTTCCTTTCTCCCATATATGTAGTACCCCACCCTTATTATTTTCTGTAGTATTGTAGATTTATAAAAATAATAAAAAATTCCCTTCGGGGGCTCAAAAAAAAAAAGACTGCAAACCCAGGTAGATGGCATGCCAGCCTCCCTGAGAATCGTAGACTCTTGGAACCAGCAGCCAGCGTAATAGAGAAGTCATGCTTTGCAAAGACAACATAAACGTTCCTGTTAAAACACCATGACAAGCCTCGTCTCCATCATGCAGGCACTCCCCCTTCTTCTCCGGTTTCACCCTATACTGCACATAGTTAGCTCCAAGTTGTGACAGGATTAGCTCACTCACCCACCCTGCACCCATCAAGACAATGCTGCTGCCAAGCATTGGATCGTTAATGCTGATGGCTGGCCAAGCACTGGGAATGACTATTCTTCCCCCTTTGTCTCAAGCCCCGCTCTCTGAAAGGTGTCACTCTAGAGAAACATTGTCAGTTGCCCAACCATTAAACCCCTTCTCCTGGTCATCACATGACCATCTGCAACCAGTTTTTTTTTAGCAACTTCCTGGGGACATGAGGGGAAGTGGCTGGTAAGAAGCCCACCCCCAAGTTCAAATATAGTATAAAAGAGCAGGACCATGTGCGCTCTCTCTCTCTCTGCCTCTATACCTAACCCTGCCCTATCTTGTTGACTCTGGAGTAGCTGCCCAAGAGTCTTTCCACATATTCTGCTAGTCCAGAATACGATCCCTGTTCCTCATAGTCTCCCCATTTTTCCTGTGGATCACTTCCCTCTCTTCAGGACAGGCAAGTATCATCCAATCAACATTTTTACCTGCTAATGCGAATGTCGCTATCCCTTTCTCTCTAATTTTCCTAGGTCTGAATAAGTGTTATGTGTGCTTGTGTTTTATTGTAGGTTTGAAATATGCTTCAGTAAAGAACCCATTTCTCTAAAGAACCGGTTTCTGTGTTTATTCTTGGTTTTCCTGGAAAGGTGGGACTTCTGTATACATAGGCTTGTGTCCCTTAATTATGCCAATTGCACATTAATATAATAATTCCCCAACCTTTTATTAAAGAAATATAGCAATTTGGCTAACGCCTTTTCACTATCTTCTTAAAACTTTCTAACTCCTCTGCCTCTCCCCTTTATTTTTGCTCCCTCTCTTTAATGACACACTGTTCATCACAATATTGCTTACAATGAACATGAGCTGCTCTTGCCATTTGTAAAAGCTCCTATGTGATATTAATACGGTATACTTTTTAAAATTTCTTTGACCATCAGGTGGGCATTCAAAGTTCACTCTGACATCCTGGCCCTTTCATTGGTCAAAATGTGTCCAGATTTTGAAAACCCTCTATGTCCACACCACCATGTGATTATGATAATGCTGTTTTCACCACCTTGGTAACCAGTGGGTATTTTGGATCTCCAGATGGTTTTGTCTTTTCAAAGAACTGATTCCAGTACATATCAATGTGGCAAGTTTCACTGGCAGTTTCATCTTCAAGTCTAAGAAGTTTCCATTCATCTGCAATCATGTCCAGTGGAATATCCATTGGGAGTGCTGCCGCTACTTTCATTATATCCTTGTTGGTTCCTTCCTTGACTCTCTGTGCTGCAGGTAAACATTGAAGATATCTGACGATGGGCTTGTCCAAAGATGACTGGAGTAAAAAGAGTTTGCAAGCTGCTATGAATTTTTTTTGCACCTGTTAAAAGGAGTAGCTGTTCCTTTTAAAAACGTTTTTCCAGTTCGTCACAGATTCTACTTTCACTGATTACTTCTCTCACAGGTATGCAGTGCTCATCACTGAAGGCATTAAGAGACAGTGGTATTGAACTCTTACGAACATGATTATGGTTCTTGTGAGTGTTTTTACTTCACTGTGCATCACTTGCACCAAAGGCTCTTATTTTTGGAACACTCCACTGAACTTCGTAAATAAGCGGGCACTTGTGCAACAATTTCTATACTTTGTGGAAGATTTCACCAAATCACTTTTACTCTTAGAAACAAAGTCCTTAAAGTACTTCATAACTGAACTGAAAACAATCTGTCTTCTCACTGGGAAGTCATCATGTTTTCCCCAAAATGCAGTAATGAAAACAAAAAAACACAAATTGCTTTCACAAAAATCAAAGAAATACTGACTTTACTGACCAGTTTTTTAAAAAAAAAACTGACAAATTACTGACCAAGATGAAAAAAACCTGACTTTTACTGATTTTACTGACCATTTTCCACCCCTGCTATAGCTGCACAATGGCTTGTGACCTAGTATGGATATGAAAATTGGGTTTTCTTGAAAGCATACTGCCAGCTTGCATTTTACACAAAACATCATTCAGGTGGAATGGTACTTTGTATGGCAACGAACTCCATACTTGATTTATTTCAGGAATGAGATGTAGCACCTGTGCCCTTATTTTGAGGGCAAAAAAAGGTATGTATGGTTATATGTTGCCATGCAAGAAAGAGTCTGTATTGATAATGAAGTGTTGATCACTTTTGCACACTTAATAGGTTGCTAAAATGGTTAGACTAATCAATCATGACCAGTCCTAAAGGCTAGCTGAATTTTATATTTAAAATTACTGCATATGATATATTGAACATGAATAGCTGGGACTAGGAACAAGAAGTCACTTATTCCTGTGCCTGATGGAGGTCCATATATGGAGCAGAAATGCCAAGCTGCCAGAACTTTGCCTAATTTTTCATGTGTTGCATTTGTGTTTTAGTACAGCCCCAAAGACATACAGGCATGAAGATAACTATAAAATACCAAAGTATTCCAAAACTAGATTGAACATTTTATATCAACTTCATTTGTAAAATGTACCATTTGAATTGGAGGCACTATGGAATTTCAAGGCTATTACAAGGAAGTCTACAAAAAGATGGATTGTATAGCAGGATCTGAGGGTCTCTTGGTGATTTT